GCTTGTTAAATTGTATTTGATTGGCGATATATTTCAAAATCATTCATGGCTGCAAATGAATTTATTTTACCGTCAGCCTCATTATGCAGTGGGAAAAATTCCAGTTATTTTTAAACTTCCCTGCCTGGGGGACATTTGCTACCAAATCTATTTGATATATATCCTTCCAGTGGACCATTAAGGCAAAATTAAAGACTCTGAGCTGTGATGTGATTTACTCTGAGTCTGCATGCTTTATTTATTAACAGCAGCCAGTTAGATTAAATTACAGTGTGTGGCCTGGCGGGTTGACATGATTTCTGGTGGAGGGTATCATAAATGGGTCATGAGGACATTGGCCTCTGTGGCCAGTGGGAAATGATCTAAACGCTAATGGGCTAAAACTGTGGGCAGCAGGATAAAGACGGAGGCTGTAAGTGGAGCAAAGGTCACAGGAAACAACTGTAGGGGAAATTCAGGGATTTGTTGTTTCTATCATCAGTTAAAAATTCACCTGAAGGAGGTTCGGTAAGGTCGAGGTTCACATCGCTTCCCATTTCTGGTTTTGACTGAATACAGCCAATCATTTGCCCCGATCGTCCTAATGTAACGCCCACACAGCAATGCGGCATCATGCACTACATTCTTTCAGCCTAATTCCTAAGATATAACACCAGCCACTAAACCCATCTGTCAATCTGACTGCACACTTCACCAGCCTCATGTATTTTTCTGCCATTCCTGACTTAAAATATTATTGCAAATGGAGTTGATTTGCATATTATTAGACGTTAACATCCTACCCATGTTGACTCATGGATATACAATATTTGTGGCACAGAAATTACCACCTGTTAATAACAGATATTTTAGTTAGAATGGAGACAAACTAAGCAATTGTGGCCAAACTAATTGTAGCCTTAAGTAGATACATTTCATTTTAAAAAGGTTTTGAGCAATTCTGTAATTTTTTTTTTATCTCAGCAGTGACTGTGACTCCTGATTGATAAACACACCTTCACACCCGGATCACAGGCTTAGATTTTATCAATCATCCCAGACACCTTGCTATCTCCTGTATTTATCTTCCCTCTTCAACAGCTCTCAGTTTTTTTCAACAGCAGCAGTGGCGGAAGCTGCCAGAGACACAGTTCTCCCGTCTGAATCTTTTTAACACGATGCTGTGTAAATTAGAGGAAAAGTGAGGCAGGGGAAATATCACTGAGCAAATTAGAAAATTTGAAACTGCAGCTGCTGCTTTGCAAACGCTGATGTGATTTATTTCTTGTAGGCGAAAATTAGCAAAGTCAGGAATGTGATGACAGTGGATTGTGGGTAAAAAAAGAAAAAAGAAAGGAACTACAGTGTGTGCACACAGGAACACATTTTTTCCCTGAACGATAAGTGGAATTAATTCATGGCAAAAATTCTTCATGGAAAAACCAGCAGTATGTTGTGGCCTGTAATTAAAATGTACGATTAAATAAAACTGATCTGGAAGCGATGAGTGGGTCTGATAATTACAGCAGAGATGAAAGGAATAAAAAATACCCTTAATGCACAGGTAAAATACGGAGGCTAAACACTGTAATCAAGATAACCACTTTGAAAAGGAACCCCCTGTGTTCTTAAAGGGACAGCTTTTAGAGGTGGCACAGAGTCATAATACGATTATTCAGTGCTGGATTAGATCAAAATATTTTGCCTTTTACAATTTATTACTGCTTCTGTGAAAATAACTCAAAATTGAGTTCTTTTTAAATGTCGTTTTCATTTCAAAAAAGAGAAAAAATAAATATTACATGGTGCTAGATCAAGTAATGTATCTGATTACAATGTCATTTTTGAGGGGTTAAAGATTAAAGCTGTTGGAGATTAGTTATCACAGTCATAATCTGTTTGAAGTAACAACATGTGACCAAATTCACACAATAACCCAAAGCCAAATCTAAAACAAAAAAATAAATAATAAAAATGGTGGCCTTTATTAAAAAGTCTTCTGCTGTCTGAGCAAAAACAAAGAAGACATAAAGAATCTCACTCGGAAGCAATGTGCGAACTTTAAAA